AATGCTGCAGAATGGACTAATTGGGAGGGAAGGAAAAAACCACACACACAACCCAGCCACAGAGTCAAGAAACACTGTCTGGTTCAGCCCTGGCTCCTCCACTGGCTAAGGAACACTGGCCAGGCTGCCCTCCCAAACGGGACGACAGGGTTCCCAGGACTAGTTATACAGCAGGCCCTCAAGAACGACTTGCTACATGAACACATGAATGAGTGAACGAGCAAGTGAATGACGACCTCACAGGACTGCTGGGAAAGAAGTGAAGGAGTCGGACAGGTAACACGTTGGTCCTTTCCCCCTTCTCCATTTCTCACGGGGTTCATGATCTCTGCTGGTTACAAGGCTAGAGACAAACAGATGGCTAACTTAAAAGAAATACTCATGGGTATAAGGAGGTAAAAATAGCTCTTGAGAAAAAACCTGGGTGCTCATTTGTCTTGCTGTTACATGTTATGACTTTTGCTTTTCATTTTTACTTATTCAAGATACTTATTACTCGAACTATCAGTTACGTGATATAAATGCAAGAGAGTGGAGTAATTTTCAAAGCAGTTGATGAAGTACTCTCCGGGCCGCAAGCAGCCTCCTATTGGGGCAGCTGGGGCAAGCCCGCCACAGGCAGCCGGCAAGGGAGAAGCCACCAAGTCAGAGTGAACCCAGTGAGGCGCACTGGGATTTCTGACTGATGTGGGTTGGACAAGACAAGTGTTATCTGGAAATACCTCTCACCTTCATCCCTTTTTTGGGCAGGTCCAATTTGAAGCCTAACTAACTACAGAGATTAAAGGAGGTAGCCGTGGGGTCAATTTTACACTTTATAATAATTTAAAGCCAAATCTTTTCTGTTAAAAATCATTTAAAAAACTTATACTCTCCCGGTTTACTACATCTTCAAGCAGAAAAAAACATCTTACAGTTTAAGGGGCTCAGTGACCACTTGGAATATGGAATGTGTAGGTATAAGAATCTCATAGCAGGTCTTGGATTCTGCCTAAGGTAAAATCATACCTAATATTCGATCACCAATTTATTGTCTATTTTTTCTGAAAATTCAACTATAGACCAAAATTTCATTACTCCAATAAGTAGCTTAGGGTATTTGGTTAAAGTAAATCCCCAATTAAAAAACAAACAAACAAAAAAAAACCCCAACAACAAAAACACTCCAGGGGTGCCTGGGTGGCTGAGTAGGTTAAGCGTCTGCCTTCAGCTCAGGTCATGATCCTGGGGTCCTGGGATCAAGCCCCATGTAGGACTCCCTGCTCAGTGGGGAGCCTGCTTCTCCCTCTCCCTGCCACTCCCCCTGCTTGTGCTCTCTCTCTGATAAATAAATTCTTAAAAAGAAAAAAACACTCCAAACTGGAAAATATGAATTCCTCTTTTTGACTTAGGTTTTTGAAACTAACATATATAGATAAAATTTAACATACAGCAATTCCCAAGCACTAAACTCAACTGTACCCTTAATTTAGGAAACTTAGGGTAACAGGGGGAAAAGAAAGTAAACCTCAACTTGCTTTCAGATAGATTTCCTCAAGGGCCAAATGCATCACCTTTGTTGCACATGAGTATGTGGAGACAAAACCGATGATATCTAATATGACCTCTTTCTTCCTCTCACTGCTAACAAACCCCGAATTAACCTGATCTTGTCACATCCTACAAAATGTGTGCAGATATTTCACAACAGCTATTGTTCAACTTTCAGGAAACATGTAACTTCAGTTATGAAGTAAGTGCCAAGACAGTTTGCAAACACAAACAACAGTATAGGAACTTAGACACTTCACTATGGAAAATTAGAATTCAGCCATGAATGAGGTGCACAGTCACTAGCTCTAAATTCCAATACTCAACATATGTGGAAGGAAGAGAGAAGTCAAGGTATCTAGCATGACTGGCCATGGTACGGTTATTCTCTTGGCCAGAGGCATGGAGAGGGGCAGTAGTTAGCGGGCTGGTGATTAGAGGCATGCCAGTCACATTCCTCTGCAGCAGAACGGCTGCAAACGCAGCTGCAAACACTCAACCACCAGCAGCCTGCGTGGCTTGTCAGTGGACACCCGGCCCCACAGTGTTTGTTGAACGTATGTAAGAGATTAAGCAGGACTTGTGAGATATTCAGACCGAGATACAATCATCTACAAATGGGTTTCCTTTAATACCGATCTAAAAATACTGGGACCTAAGCTCCCTGTTCAGGAAAACTGGGGGATGAAGGGGGACGGCTAATATCTGTGGATAGTAGAAAATGTGAAACATCAAAATGTTCATCTCAGTGCCTATGACCAGGACAAATAAACAAAATTGCTCACTGCACTGAAAACTTCAAGTAAAGCAAGGTTACTACTGCCATTAGAAAAAAAGATGTAGCTCACGACGAAATGTTGTGTCAGTTCAGTAAGTCTTTATGTCACACACGTATTAATTCAATAGGACAGTAAACTCCTGAGTGGAACAGGCTCTCCCGGTATGTTGTGAGCTTTCCTTGCTAAGTAAAGCTTATCAATGCAAAGGGAAAACTACCTTTCAAGAGCTGCTAATCTATTCTTCTGTTGAATTTAAACAACATATTGAGAATAACTATAAGTTCCCATCTGCATAACTGAATTTTCAACTCCTTCAATTAAGCATTTCTATTAACAGAAAATTCAATCCTTCACCACCAACAAGCCAGTTAAATGGAACACCTTACAGAAAGACCAGCTCCTGGAAACCCTGCTGCTGAATAATGAAATGTGCTACCAGGCACAGAGAGAATCTCTTAGTGGTTTCAGATTCTGGCTGAAAAAGCAGAAAGTGCTTTCTAGCTGGGCACTTTTCACACATCCTCGCTTCTTAACAATGAATTCATCAACTCCTCTAGTACCTCTTAATTCTCAAACAAGGTAGATGATCCAGATGGGTCTCTACCAGTTAATCATTTAGTTTTATATTCTAAAATTGGAACCTCGATAATTTGCCATGGTATACTACCATTTGGTATCTCAACTCTTAACTCTCAACAACAAAATCTAGTACTCTTCCATGTTAGAAATCGGATTGATTCTCTTTACGCTATTATAGTAATTTGGATTTCAGGTTGCTGGATCTATTTCAGGATGTGAATTGTTTACTGGAGTTGACAATTTACACTGAGTTTCTGGCAAATTACAACTACTTCCTTCAAATTTGATCGGAGGAGGTGAAGAAAGCTGTATTTTGACGGGAAGGTTAAGACAAACAGTGGACTTCTGCTAAAAATACTCTCACCTTCCTTTTATGCAAAGGCATAAAAGTGAAGTGAAGAAGTTGTATTTGGTCCTGACCACAGTGAACACTCAACACATTATTTCCTACTTAAGGGTGCTTAAAATACGACTGTACTTCTTATCAGATGTCATCATTCATTATCGTGCAGATATTCCTGCTGTTTTAGAGCATATAATGTCATGGCATAGAGCAAAGTGCCTCAACCTTGGCACTACTGACAACTGGGGCCTGGTAATCCTTTGCTGTGGGGGCTGTCCCCGTGCACTGTAGGATGTTTTCAGCAGCAACCCAAGCCTCTAGATGCCAGTAGCACCCTTCTTGTCAATTTTGACAACCCAATAGGTCTCCAGATGTTTCCAGATGTCCCCCAGGAAGCCAAATCAACCTCATGTTGAGAGCTCCTGGCATAGAGTTTAAACTAGCCAAATGGTGACACAAGGAGACTTAAACTTTCTTATTCTTTTCAATGACACTTCAATAGTTGCAGATCCCAAATCCTTTGTCAAGTGACCAGAGTTTATTTTCTGTGAGAGCAACAACAAAAATCCAATTTCAGTTTTATGTATAACTGAAAATGTTTTAACTTCAGCAATCTGACAAACTTTTAATCTTTTTGTTTAAAACGTTTAAATTTGAAGTTATGACTTTTAACTTTATAACTAGTTAATGGAAATGAATCTTCATATCTTTACCGAGGGCCAAACCTATGTCCACTGAGGAAAGCCGTTTCTGCTAGTTTTGAAAGATCTACTCCCTGCAATCTCAGATACGCTCTTGGAGAGGAGAGGAGGAAGAAAGAAGCTCCTGGTGCCAAGGATCTACTTCAGAGCTCAGGGCTCTTTGCCACAATGTCAAGTATCTGATAGTAAGTCCCTGCTGAGAGTGTCACTTCTTAGAACCGATCCTTCTTCTCTAACTGGCTTTCTTCTTTATTCAAAAGATCCATTAACATTAATTTTAGAAAAAGCTGCTTTTGCACATTAACTACTAGTTCTGTCTTGGGATAGTTTGTTGTTAAAAAAAAAAAATGGATTATGATTTCAGAGACTGGCCTGAAATGGAAACATACCTCTAATTCATTTGATCAAATTTCTCCAAAGGATGTGGGGCCCTAAATCCACGAATAGTCAGAACATTTCTATATGTACATGTAGCTACAGATATGCTTCTACGTTATGGAAAATGGATGCTGACTTTGCCAATGTTCTGTTCTTTGGCCTTGCAAATGCCACTCTGATGTGCAGCCTTATACAGAATGAGAATTTGGAGACAAAGAGTGATCATTTTCTTTTTTTTAAAATGCTTCCCAAGAGAATGAGAGCCAAATTATCAGGTTTATTCCTCCAATTTCTATGGAAACAATGCTTGGTCCTCCTGTTAGCTCTTGCAGTTAAGTTTACTTAGATTTAAAGATAGTTGTTAAAGTTTTTAATTTGTTTAATAAGAGTCTTTTGAATTCTTAAATAATCATGGTTCATTTATCATACTCTAATTTAGAAACAAGAAAGCCAGTTAAAGGCAGGTGTATAAAAATGCCTCCTAGCTCAGTCTTATGCACTTACAGAAGAAAAATGCATATGCACACACAGACACACAACAGTCTTTCCAACAAGAGCACAAATGAAAATGTTTGCTACGTCTCATGCACTGCTGTCCTCCAGGCACAAGGAATGAAAGCAACTAGATCCCTGAGAACAGCCCCGGAAGTTACTAATAGCTTATCAAATATAAAGATAACAGATACCTACCATCAAAACTGCCTTGCTCAGAAGCAAGGTGCAACAGCTGATTGTATGTTTCAACTGAAGGCTGATAAACAAAGACTCCAGAATTGAAGCAGTCAGGCCACCCTGGGTCTGGTGCCGCCGACAATTCTTCTCTCTCAAAAAGATCATCAATATTTGCCAGGACCTAATTTAAAGGGGGGGAGGTGGGTGGGAGGGAAAGCATTACAAAAATGTTCTGCCCCAGCATACTCTTCCTAAATTCTGAGTTATCCAACACAAACGATGCAGTCTGCTGCTGATCTTAACCATTCAGATGACAGCTATAAAACAGCCTGGGCTTACTCTCCTTCATCACCTGATGCTTTCAATAAGTGGTTTTATCTGAACTGTACTGTCAAGTCTTGAGAGCATTCCTCAAATGCCTAACTGGTCTCAGTTACTATCTACATCTTTCCAGTCATCAAAGCCACACTCACCAGAGTATCTGCATCCATGAACACACATTTCGAATACTGTGTAAGTGACCAGCAATGGAGTTTAGTTAATGTGACACCCAACTCAGGCCTTTTCATTAAGGTTAGATGCGCAGAATCACCACTGTCCAAGACGTCTACTGTGATGACTTCATCAAAGACTGTCTCTAAAACTTTTCTGCCAAAATAAAATCCAGAAAACAGCATTTAGTGTCTTTTCAGATAAGTAACAAGTAACCCATCTAATGTAAAATTGTATTCTTATTAAGTCTACCCATAAATTACTAGAGCAATCTGTTACTTTGATGTAGTACAATCTCTTAAATAGGTGGTCTTAATTTACTTCAGGCCAAACTGTATCAATTTATATGTGTAGCTAACTTCACTAATAAAAATTGCTTTGGTGAGGATGAAGTACTTGTACTAAACATTATTATAGCAGAACTTTTCTATTTTTATTTATTTTATGTTATCACTGGATACCAGGCAAATTATAGAAACCACCTGTCAAAATGTGACTCCCACTTTGAAAGAGCACATCTTTACAACAACCTATGTATTTAACAATGATATTTCATTAGAATTGATTCTTGCTGATTACTCCATGTTTCTACAAATGATGCTAAGTGCATATAATACCTGCAACAAAGCCTATAACTAATCACTTTTGATAAAGCAGTTTACATAGAGCTATGCATCCCAAAGGATGTTCAAGGACTCAGCTATTTGGTTGCCAATTTTTAGAATCGAATATAACCAACACTTAAAGTATGCTTAGCACTTCTGACATAATGATTCACTTTGGTTTGTGAGGTGCAACACTTCTCCAGGCCCAAAATTAACTCAAGATTTATTTTAGAAAGCAATCTTGAAGTGGGTTAAGCGGGGGTATACTTAGGTAAAACACTAAGCTCGGCACAACATATGATAAAGACATCATCATTGAAAGTTTATAATAAAATGAAACATGCAGAACAAAACTGGCATTGTATTATCTGTCCCCAAGCTGTAGAAAAAGATGTTCCAATTCACACAGTAAACATCTTTTTGAAAATAAATGGTCATTGGAGCCATTTAGCACAGTAAAAGGGGATCTAAGACTACATCTGCACCCTCACTAAACAGACTACAAATTGGGATGTACACATTAGGAAAATCTTTTAGCATTTTCCTAAATTACCCTTTATAAATAAGGTTATTAGTGTGTGAGAAATATCTAGCTATATATAGAGGTTCTTGGCATGTGCTTATATTTCTTATAAAAAGTCACAAAAAAGGGCATTTTCAATTTCTAAGACGGATAGGAAAACAAAAATAAACACCGTACAGAGCTGCTAGTGTGCCCAGATATTTTTGTAGTGTTAGGATCTAGGTAGTTCAGTCAAATACATCAAAGTTTAATACCAACAAATCAAAATGAACACAATCAACAAGCAGTTTGTGTCCCCCCCCCCCCATCTCTACCCCAGGGTGCTCTCTTACACAATCCCTAGTTCAGAAAGCCCTGGCAAATATTCTAGTCTATTAAATGATAAATAAAGATCTTTAGGTTACAAATGCCAACTGACAGTGGAGAAAACTGCTACTTACTTTCAGTCACCTGAGGTTTCCCTGGTTGGAAACAGGAAACAAAGTAGCCCCCGCTGCATTTTGGGAAAGGAATACAAGTGAAGTGTGACCACATAAAAGGAATGCCTGGACTAAAACATTCACTCAGGTCATCCTAGAGGACCTGCTTACAGGACAGTCCTTCTCACAGCTGGAATCAATAAGAACACGGGTCAGAACAGCACCTTCCAGAAGGGAGCTCAGCGGGAATAGCTCCTAAGAGCTAGAAGAGGTTGATCCAGAAATCCTTCACCCAGCAATTCTGATCTTTCTCCACCTAGTGCTAAACTGGAAAGGGGATGGCCTCAACGCCCAGTGATGCCAGAAATGGGATAAAGATGTCAGAGCCCCACCAACAGACAGGCAAGAGGTCCTCACCTCATGGAGTCCGAGACCTGTGGAGTGGCAAGCACGGCCAGCTTCCTGGTGGTCCTGTGCTGTTTCAGAGACGAGCCCAGGACCAGAGCTCCTTTGGCGTAGGCATCGTTTGTGGTCAGTGTCACAAAGGCCTGATCTTAATACAAAGAGAAAGAACAAAAACACACTCATTACAATATCCTACCTGGAAAAAGCTACCACAGGACCCTTTTCAACCACTAATTTGGCAAAATCAGCTCCTCTGAGATCAACTTGCTCTATTAATAAAGAAGCAGCCTCTCTGGGAGTGGGGGAAGAACCCAAGTACCCACTTTAAGAATGATTCAAGACCATTCTTTAGCAGAAACATCTCTGGCAATCTCCAACAGGCTGATTAAGCTTTAAAAATTAAATCCAATTTAGAGTCTGAACACACAAAATTCAGACGAAATAGCAGCTTAACACCAGAAGGTGAACCTCAGGTAATTAACAGTTGGTAATGAACTCAAGAAGTACATTTTCTGTTTCCTACAAGTATTTTCAGCCAAGCACAAATCCAACTAACGACCTCAACAGAGAGCATCTGAAAGCAGAAGCCATATTCTTCATTCTGATGCTTAGGCTTCTGCCAAGCCTCAGACTTTCTATATTGTTTCCTCAACCTGCAGCAAAGGCACCCACACCACCCACCACATCTCAACAGTCACTTGGAGTGTCTGCTCAAATATCACCTCGATGGACAGGTCTTCCCTCCTTAGTGCTTCTATTTAAACAGCAGCCAATCAGTGTTAATCAGATTTTAGGGACCACCTCAAAAGTGCTAACAAACCTGCCTCCTTTTTCTTGGAGAAGCAATCAGCATCCCCTACCCTGTACCCTGGGTCCCCCAACACACACACACACACTCCATAATCCCTCCGTTGCCAGAAGGGAAGGCAAACACATGGATTATTCTTCCTACTGAACAAGCCCCACCCTCCCAAGACCACCAGCCCTGCCTTTAGGATTTCTCCAGTTCTTCCCTGGAATGAGTCTGAGGTCCACTCTATCTCTGAGGGGATTTTAGCAAGGCAGTGGGCATCCAAATGTACAAGATACTTCGGATCAAACACTGGCAGGGGTCACTTGGGGGCACTGTTGCCCAACCAAGGAGTTGGGACATTTTGTCATGAAGTCACGCTCTTTCTCATTTTCCCTTTGCCTGTTTTCCATTGTGGAGGCTGGAGGCAGACTGAATTCCATTGAGAAGCCAGAGAAAGTTGTAGGCTGTCAAGGAGGCTACTGCATGTGCTGGACTCTCTTCCTGAACAGGATCGCTATTAAGCTGTAGAAAGACTGGTGTTCCCCACCCTTCAAGGGCCACCGGCTTCCCAGCTAGTCACATTCTAGGAAAGCTCAGAACAGTGACACCTGTCATTTGACATGCCCATCAATCTCTGCCTTTACTTGTTCCTTCAACCCATCACAAGATGGCAACATTTCAGACAGTCTACCCCAAGAGTATTTCATCTGGGGGATAAGGACTAATGTTTTAACTCAAAAGCGGTCCAGATTCCAGGGGAACCTGGACAAAATTTTAATAAGGTAAATAGGACTCAAGGATTTCAGGAAGCAAGGTTACGGATGCTATCCGAGATGAAGTAGGGGACAGGACAGATGCTTAGGAACATAAGCTGGAACACCTAGCAAACATTACAAATGAACGGGAAAGACCAATGACAGCTGGGTAAAATACAGCAACTCCGGGTACATCTGCAATCTTTCGGCAGTTCAGTTGCTCTCATAACCGCGCTATTAGCCTCAACAACCTCGGAAGGACCAGGTATCTCCGAGCTTCCCCTTCTCGGGGCAGATTCGACCCCTGCAACAAGTGGGCCGGCGCACGCCCACCGCATGCGGCCCCCTCCCCTGGGGCGCTCGCCCGGCTCTAGCTTTCAGCAACCCGGCCTCAAAGGCCTAAAAATAGTCTCGGCGTGGCGGCCAGCGCCCCGGCGGCCGGTAGAGGGGCCGGGCCGGGGCCGCCGGCGTCCCCACCTCGAGGCCGGCCCTTCCAGGTGATCCTGCTTGCGGGAGGCGGGGGCGGCCGCCGAGCGATCCCGCCGCGCTCCGGGGCTCGGGACAGGCGCCCCCGGGAACCGGCTCCCCACCCCCACCCGGCCCCGCCGCAGCTGCTCCGCCCGCCCTTCACGGTGAGAGCAGAAGGAAGGGCACGGAGACGGAAGCAGGAACGGGGGCTTGGGCAGAGGGCCCAGGCGCCGCCAGGCTGCCCCCCACGACAGCGTCCCGGGTTCCCGGCCGCAGCTCCGGCCTCGGGGGCGGCGGGGCAGCGGCTGACGCAGGAAGCGGCACGCCCGACTGCAGCCAGCCTGTAACTTTGCGGCAGTCTTCGTCCTGCCAGGAACTCCCCCGGGGCTGCGGGGCGGGAAGGAGGCGCGGGGAGGCAGCGCAGGACGCGGAGCCGGAGGTCCGGGGGGCGGTGGGCGGCGCGGCGCGTACCTGTCATGGTGCTGCCGGGAGGGGCTGGGCGGCCGCCGCTGCCGCAGGTTGCTGGCTAGGAGAAGCCGGGTGCCGGGAGGGAGCGCGGCCAGGGAGGAGGCGCGGCGGGAGCGGAGCGTGGGCCCCGAGCGCTCTTATAGCGGCCGTCACGTGGCCGCGCACGCTCCTGGCGCCCGCCGGCAACCTCCCCGCTGAGAGGCCGGCGGGGGCGGCCGACCCGGGTCCTCTCCCAGCCCCTCCGCCCCCGGGGCTGGGCTCGGGTCCAGCTCCCGAGGGGCACCTGCCCGGGACGTCGCGCCTCCGCATCCCCCCCCTAAACCGGGGATTTGGAACAGAACTTTGGGGGCAGAGCGTGGCATAAGCAGGACAAACTCCTGAAGAAGGGTTAGAGAAACCTAAAAAACAAAACCCCAAAAAACAAAACCCCATACCATATTAGTGACAATAATTCACTCGAACTGTTTGAAATAAACAAGGTTTAAATTTCACTCTTTGCACCTAGGATTACAAATCAGCCTCTGGAAACAGTTTTTAGTATTCTCACAACGGTCTTGTGGCTTTGACTGAAAAACGAAATGAATCTTCGCTATATTATTTAGATTCTTGGAGCCCACTGCATCCATTAGATAGGGTTTCATTTACTCCTTACACCAACTCCATGAAGTAGGTGTTATAGCCTCATTTTACAGATGAAGAAACTGAGTTACAGAAAGGTTAAATTACTTGCCTGTGGTCGTATCATTAAGTGGAGAAGGTAGGCAGTTTGGTTTACAGAACTGACCTTCCTACAAGTAAGGCCATGGCATCCCTGGTACGTTGGTGCCCTAAAAAGGTTAGCAAATTATGGTAACTGGGGTTGGGTAATATAGTTGTTTAGGTTAATCTGTTTCACAAATCATGAAAAGGTGAATTTGTCATTTTGCTAGGAAGTTGAGAAATAGCTCTCTTGTGATCACACCCTTCTCCTCTCCCCATCCCTTCCACCCAGCCCAAACATACCAGGAAAGGAACAGGTAGTACAAGTCTCTGCGAACAACAGTTGCTCAGTAAATGCTGAATGGAAGCCAAATAGGAAATTGACAACATCAGTTCAAAAAATGAAATAGATGCATAAGAATAAGGGTTTTATTGCAAAGGTGGTATTGCTATTCTTAAACCCATTATCTCAGTTTCCTCAAGTGTAGGCCTGGACCGCCTACTTTAGAATTGGTTAAGGCACTTGTTAAAATGTTAATTTTTAGTCCTAAGTCCAGACTTCCTGAATCAGAATCTTAAGGGTGGAACCCAAGAATCAGCATCTTAATTATCATTCTCCAGGAAACTCTCTTGATCCCTTCCCCTTCCCCCAACCCCATCTGGGCATGGAGACCACCAATTCACTTGGGAAGACCTCCTGGTTACTCGACTTTATAAACTTCCTTTGTAGGAAGTGGAAATATCGGAGCAGAGGTACAATGGCGGGGTTTTCATGTATTCAAACCCTGTGGGGTTAGAAGAGTTGACACTCTTTAAGGAAAATGAAGGCTGTGGTTAAATTGTACCTCCCTGGGAGAGGGAAAACAGTGGTGCTCCAGGTCTAAATTGCTTCTGTCCATACTGATACGTGGGCCTGAAAGAGTAAAGTTTCTTTCACTCAGGAACCCTCCTTCCCTTGATGGTTCTATTACCACCTGTTGCTTCAGAGCAAACTGTCCAGGCTGGGTTTTCACAAAGGGTGATGCTGGACTCAAAAGGTCAAAGCCGGGAGGAAGATCTGGGGACAACTAGAACAGTAGGGAAAATTTCCTTAGGAACAAGCTCCTCTCTGCTCCATCCTCCAGGATGTTTAAGTAGGAGTGGTCACCACAGCCTTCTTCCCTGTGTTTCGTGCACATTTACAATAAGAGAACATTGATAGCTTTTACCACCTTAATCAAAAAGGGACATTTTGAGGTTGCTACAATGTTGTCTCAATTGAGATTACTAATAGTGACGCACTGCCCAGTTTTCCTGAGGCTGTTTTACACTGAGTTTTGGTTAGGTATGAGAGCAAGGCCTCTCAAACTTTAATGTGCACACAGATTGGGGATCTTGTTAAAATGCAGATTCTGACTCAGTAGTTTGGAATGGATCTCCCTGGCAATGTCCAGGTGGTGGACCAATTTTGCATAGCAAGGTGATTGAACATTCTGGATTGTAAGGATTTAGACGTAGTGGAAAGACATACAATGTTGTAATAGGACAAATGTTTGAGAATTTAATTTATTAACTTTTTTCCTGTGAAATTTGTGTAGCAGAATTTCTAAATCCTAAAAGAAAGATTTAAATAAGTTCAAAAAGAAAAGCTACATGGGTACTACCAACTTAGTATTATCATAACTATTAACCATTTAAACCTATGCTAAATGTGTATATTTAGCGTGGTTGGTCCAAAATTCATTTTTAGTTGGCTTTGGAATGCATGATGTAATTTTTTGGCAAGATCCTTACCTTCCCAATTATGTTTTGTTTAAGATAATGCTGAAATCAGTTTGCATTCCCTTGAGCACACACACTAATTGATGGTGGGAGCCACTGACCTAGAAATATATTCCAGAGCAGAGGGCAACCTGCTGGCCTAAGACAAACAGTTCCCACAGACAGTCCATGAAATAGATATACCACATCTGCTCAGACACAGTAACTAACTTGTTAACTAACTACATAAAATTTTGCCCTTAATTGGTAACACACAGAATCTGTACCTGGAATTGTTGCCAGCGACCACAGCCCTAATTCCAAGTGAAAGCTTATTCAAGAAATATTATCCTTGGAGGCCCAAAGTTGTTCATACTTCACTTGGAAGCTGGAGTCTCCAACTCCCCAAGTTGTAAGGGCCTGTTGACTAGTTATAATACATTTAAAAAAGCAACAACAACTTTATTATGATATAATTCACATATCATAAAATTCAGCCATTTAAAGTATACAATTAGATGGTTTAGAGGATATTCACAGAATTGTGTGAATATCATCACAATCTAACTTTAGAACATTTCATCACACAAAAAGAAAACTATACCCATAAACAGTCCTCCTCAGTCTCTCTTTCCCTCATCTTCAGCAACTACTAATCTTTCTGTCTCAATGGATTTGTCTAGAAAGATTTGCCTATATGTGGTCTTTTGTAACTTTCATTTACTACCATAATGTTTTCATGGTTCTTCCATGTTAGGGCATGTACTGGTGTTTCCTTCCTTTTTATTGCCAAATAATATTTCATTATATGGATATATGACATTTTAGTTACCATTTCATGAATAAACATGTGGATCAATATTTGGGTAGTTTCCACTTTTTAGCTATTGTGAATAATGCTGCTATGAACATTTGTGTCCAAGTTTTTGCTTGACACACACATATATATTTTTTTAAATAGATAGATAGATAGATAGATAGATAGATAGATAGATAGATAGATCTCCTCCTGGATATATACCAACCATAGAATTGCTGGATCATATGGTAACTCTATGTTTAATATTTTAAGATGGTTAGATTGTTTTCCAAAATGTCTGCCCCATATGGCATTCCCACTAGTATGAGAGTTTCTTAGCCAATGTTGTTGTGTTTTATTATAGGTATCCTAATGGGTTTGGAGTAGCATCTCATTGTAGATTTGATTTGTATTTCCCTAATGACTTGTGATGTTGAGCATTTTTTCATGCGCTTATTGTCCATTTGCATATCTTCTTTGGAGAAATGACTATTAAAACACTTCACCCACTTCTAAATTGAGTTGGTTTTTATTATTGAGTTATAAGAGTTCTTTATATATTCTGGATACAAGCCCTTATCAGATAGATATATATTATATGATTTATGATTTTTATTTATTTTTTAAAAATTTTTAAAAGATTTTATTTATTTATTTGAGAGAGAGAGAGAGCACGAGTAGGGGGAGGGGCAAAGGGAAGGGGAGAAGCAGACTCCCTGCTGAGCAGGGAGCCGGAGGATCCTGGGATCATGACCTGAGCCCAAGGCAGACAATCAACTGAGCCACGCAGGCAGGCACCCCTGATTATGGGTATAGTTTTCTTTTTGGGTGATGAAATCTTCTGAAGTTAGATTGTGATGATATTTGCACAATTCTGTGAATATACTCAAAACCATCTAATTGTATACTTTAAATGGCTGAATTTTATGATATGTGAATTATGCAGACACCCCGCATATATATATATAAAATTTGTAATATATTCTCCTATTCTGTGGGTTGACTTTTTACTTTTTTGATAGTATTTTTTGTAGCATAAAATTTTAAATTTCTACACAGTCCAATTTATTTATTTTTCTTTTTTGCTTGCGCTTTTGGTATCATGTCTAGGAAACCATCGCCTAACCTGCAGTCATGAAGATTTGCTCTTATGTTTTCTTCTAAGAGATTTATAGTTTTAGCTCTTAAATTTAGGTCTATAATCCACTTTGTGTTAATTTTTGTGTGTCATGTGAAGTGGAAGTCTAGCTTCTTTCTTTGGCATGTGGATATTGAATTGTCCCAGCACCGTTTCTTGGCACCTTTGATGAAAATCAGTTGACCATCAGTGTGACAATTCTAGTTCTGGACTCATTCTATTCCATTGAACTATATGTCTATCCTAATGTTAATTCTACATTGCCTTGATTTCTGCAGCTTTGTAGTAAGTTTGGAATTAAGAAGAGTGAGTCCTTCATTTTTGTTCTTTTTCAAAATTGTTTTGGCTATTCTGGGTCCCTTGCATTTCCATATGAATTTTAGGATCAGTTTATTAATTTCTGCAATAAAGAAAGATGGGATTTTGATTGAGATTGCATTGAATTTTTAGACCAATTTGGGGAGAATTGACAACTTAAATACTTAAACTTGATCCATGAACATGAGATGTCTTCTCATTTACTTAGATCTTCCTTAATTTCTTTCAACAATGCCTAGTAGTACATTACCTTTTAAAACACATAACAAAATTCAAATCAACTAAGTCTGTTAGCTGCATAACCCCAAAGGCATGACACCTGATTTTCTTTTTTTCCCCTGTAATTTTCATCTTTAATTATTTTTAAAATTTTTTATTTAAATTCAATTTAATTAACATATACTGTATATTAGTTTCAAAGGTAGAATTCAGTGATTTCATCAGTTGCATACAACACCCAGTGCTCATTACATCAAGTGCCCTCCTTAATGCCCATCCCCCAGTTACCCCATCCCGCCACC